ATTCGCAGTGATTCAGCTAAAAAAGGAATGGTGGGTCCCACGATAGAGATTTGCAAATTCATAGAGAAAAGAGAAAGAGGCTGACGCTGGTCGGCACGACGAAGAAGAAGAAGCCAGTAGCCGTTGAGGAGTTTTTGCTAGTCGGCCATGCTGCAGAGCGCTAACGCTAACAAATGATAATGGGTAGTTTGGAATTCCTCCACGACGGCGGACGATGCGGCCGACGATGGTCCGGTTCTTCTTGTAATACTATTATCGCCACATTCAGTTTATTGTTATTAATAGTGGTGGCCTTATTGGGACTTAAACAGCCGCTTTCATAGACGTTTTAGTCACCTGATTAGTACCGTCAGAACCGATCTGCTCATGTAACTTGCATTAACCGCTGCTCTCGCCATTCCCTGAATAATAAAATTTAACAATTCTGTTTTATGGGCGCCGATTCTGACGTTTTATGTTCTACCACTACGATCGCCGTACTTGTCCAACACGCACTTTGATGTTTTCACGATTTGAATTGATTTCGACTTCGGCTTTATCCACACCGACTACCGACTCCTTTCTTGTTTTCATGCACATTTACAGTCAAATTTTACTTGCTTATTTTTAAACACACTTAATACCTACCTACAAAAACAACCACGTACAATTTTATAAAAACTTTTTTTGAAATGATTTTACTTAGTAAATAAAAGTCTTCCAATTCATTAAATTTTTCGACATATTTACAGTAGTATTAATACACTGTTTAAAATTTCATGAGCATTTTAAAACCAAATTAACACAATACATGGTCTATATCGATAAAAACCAAAATGGTGTTAAATATGGTTCGTTGGTCCTGTGTAAATTCAAATACTAAAATAGTGTAAATTGAACTCCTTTTCAGTGTTAAATATTATGTTGTTTTTGGTCAAATTAAATCATATTAGGTGTAAAGTGCACTTCTCAGTAGTTCGAAAAGATCAAATATTTTTAGATAAACACCGTTTTGGTGTTTGCTGTATATAACATTTTTAACCATAATTCATGGTGTTTATATTAATACCACTTTGTGTTGGATTTAGACACCATTTTTAGATTACCCTTTACACTACAGATATTTTAAACAGTGTAACTTATTGTTCGAAACATATCTTACAGGTGTTTTTGTTTATTTGGATAGTTTTAATACACATCTTATTCCATTCCAACCTTCGGTAGGTTGAAACAATTTTCAGAAGAGTTTGTAATCTTCTTTAAATATTTTGAAATTTTATGGTTTTGGGTCGTGCATAAGGCGATTTTAAATAAATTATAACAAAAAAAAACTATAAATTCTATCGAAATTTTAAAGTTAACATTCTGGACTTTTTATATAAATTACATTATAACTTACAGAGAGCTAATTTTATATCCAGTTTTGAACAGTATTAGCAATGTAATGGTTTACTAAAATAATAAAAATACACTGAGAAAAATAATTTTTTCAGTGCAAATAAATAAAGTTGCGCCAACAAAATTTATTTGTAGCTATAGCCTGAACTAAAATCTTTGTTGGAAGAACAAGTTTTTTTTGTTGAAGCATATGTGTTACTATAACTAATATTTTCTGTTGACAGAACAAAGTCGATTTATAGTAACACCAATATTTTTGTTATCATATACAATAATATTTTGTAGTTGAAACCGTTTGTATTTGTCTTAATTAATTAATCTATTGGTTCTTAAAACAGTTTTGCATTTGTTTTAAGTAATAATTTATTTGTTTATATAAATTTTTGTCAGTAGTGCAAACTAATAATTCCCAACAAATTCAGTTTTGTTGTAAATACAAATTTCTTATTAGAACCAACAACAATAGTTGCAACAAAAAATTTATTTTTTCAAGTTGTAGTGTCCATATTGTGAGAACTGACATATTACCTCGTCACCGTGCTTGGGTTCAAGCGTGCTACACAAACAGGCACCCACAGACAGCCTGTTTCGGTATTATTAGACGTCATCAGTGCCGGATAGCTGTGGTGTCTAAGCACACTCAAAACCCTATATAGACAGCAGGTGCAGCAAAAGCAGTGAAAGGTAATCAGACCTATCTACCGTCCAAAGGACGTGGCCTTCTGTTGCAGAAATGTGCTGTCTACTCGTCATAGCAGGAATAAAAGGCTCTACAGACTTGCTTAGGCAAAACCGTGACTAATGCAGTTTTTTTAAACTGCAGAACATTTACTTTAAAGAATTGAATTACATTTTTAATGTTTTTGTTATAATTTTCATAACATTATGGGCCACCCGATATAATACTATGGTGTTAACCACAATATATGCGCTAGTGCCTAAATAGATGCTATTTGAGGGTAAATAAACATACACAATAACTAAAAAATACAAATTTTTCGAAATTCTGTTTATTCTGATGATAATTATTATTCCTATTATAGGAATACCTTAAAGATAATAAATAGGAATATATGCAATAATATATGAAAAATTTAATGGTAGTAATACATGAGGAGCGTCCGGTTAAAACCAGTGTGCTGGTTCAGTCAGAGGCAAACATGTCTAACCAACTAATACAGGTCTCAATCACCTATCATCAAGATGAAAAACTCAAAACAGTTACTGTCAAATGTCTACATTTTTGTTTTTGAACAAAAATTGTGCTAGGATTTTAAACAGTTATATTGAGATTTACTTGTTTTAGACAAGCATACATTTTTATGAGAAATGATTATTTTTTTCACATAATAAAAGTTTTTTCTCTTGCAACTCGAACCGTACAAAAAAATCCAGACGGATAAGGATAAAGTGAGTTCAGATTCAGTTTGAGCGGGTAAAAATACATGGGAAAATCATGATCTAATTAAGGGCCTGTTTAATTGAATCAAAACAAAATTTATTCTCAGAATAAATTAATCTCGCCTACCTAGGTAAAGTAAAAAAATAAACCAAATAAGTCTTGATACGATCTGATCAACAAATAAGTCAAATGCAATCTGGTCATAGACAAATATATCCATTCCTAAAAGTTGATTTTTTAAATTCTAACAGTATTTTGATCACGAGGGCTTGTTCAGGCGTGTTAAGGAGCCCAAAATAAAAATTGTAAGCATAATTTAAGAACAGTTTTTTTACTCTCCTGAAAAATCTGATCAGATCAGAGGGACATATTTGGTTTTGACCGGACGCTCCTCACATAATAGTCAAAATAAAATGGTTATGAAACCAAAATCAGGTTTTTCAATCAATAAAGATTTACAATTAAAATCATTTGTAACAAAAATGTATTTGGGTCATTTATATGAAAAGTATAATTTTTCGTATCAGCCGCTTGCTGTAAATTCGGTTTTTATCTGTAAAGCATACAAAGAAAATGGCGACAACTAAAAAGAAGAGGGTTCTGGCTCAATAATAGCAGAAGGAGAATATTGCACAGTATCATAAGTTCATTCAAAAATTTATATTTGTGTAAAATGCTAAAAACTTATTTTAACGCTATTTCTAAAAATTAATTATTTATAGATGTATTATTTTAAGATTTAATATAATATAATAATTTAGTGAACTCCTCAGAAAATAAAAGAGTAAATTCGAATCAGATCGTTGGAAATGTGAATTCACACTTTCTTAAGAAAGTGTGAGCCAAGCTGAGAACAGTTCCATTCTTAAATTAGTTTTGTATTTCAAAAAAAGACATATTTGTTTAATTAGGAACTGGTTTAACAGATAGTAAATAAAATGTATTATCTTAAAAAGTGAATTTTGAGTTTTCATTAAAGGCTATTCCAGTTCATTTCTTGTGACAACTTATGTAACTTTTACAACCAAATGAGAACAATCCACCATTAAATTTTAATTTTGAAACCAACATTTTTAATTCCTTTTCAATCAAAATCACACAAAATAAACTTAAAGTTGACAGTGTCAGTACAGGTCACAGATGGTCCATTCTTTTAATATGTATTTGGTTAACTTACTTTGGCTTATCCAATTTTCTTGATAAACCATACTGATTAAGAATATAGTTGTTTCTAGTCAATGTTAAAAATTTCAACTTACTAGGTAAATAATATGAAAGTTTATGAAACTAAATAAAAGATTCCTGTTTCACTGTGCGTTATAAGTTGAAAATCCCTTGGGAACTTTCGAGGGTGGAATTTTAAAAGACGACGACGACGACGTCGAGTCCCGTAGTAATTGGAGCCGTCGGTTTTTTTCGTTGGGGGAAGACGTAGCAGGGGCGCTACGCTTCTGCCACGCTGATTTATTTTATTTTGAGTCGTGGGTGGCTGGATTTAAAAAGGCGTGTGCTATGTCGAAAAATTGTTCGGGTGTATTGATTTAGACACGACCCGATTCTTCGACACAGACCATTTCTTTAGCTGCTCGGATCAAAGAAAAACATACATTCGACGTTTTTTGATTTAACTATCCAGATTTTATATGAAATACCTAGGTTCTTGCTTTAACATCTGCAATTTCTTCAACTGTAGCTAAGTTATTTTTATTTTCTGAGTTCAATACTTTCTTGACGTAATAATGGTTTTAATCATTAAACTACATGAATTGAAGTTTTCAGGAGCAGTAATCACAGTTAGGCAGAACGATAACAATAGTTATTATTTCCTATTTAATTTTAATATACATGTTTTTTAGATTGCTTCAGATAAATCACAAAAATTGGTTTTAATTTTACTGTACTAAAGATATTTTTTTATTCGTATGTTTACTTAGTTATCCATTATTTTTTTACTGTTTGATCTTTGATTAAACTCTTTACTCAACGGTTAAATCATGTGGCACCCAAACACCGTGCTTCCTTTTGCAAATGGCTCAAAACTATTTTGTTTTGTTTGGGCCAAAAGCTTCTTAGCCTTTTTTCCTTTATTGGAAAAGGGTTTCAATGTTGGAAATCCCTATTTTCATATTTAAGACTGTTACGGTTTCTTAAATATTCTATGAAATATCAAAGCTCATTAATTAATTAAATCCATGTATTAATTTATATATTTTTGTTCTAGGTGTGGTTCCAAAACGCACGGGCCAAATGGCGAAGAATGATGCTAAAGCAAGAAGGCAAGTCTGGCGACAAGTTGTCGGGATCGGAAAGCATGAGTGACATGGATCTTTATCCGCACGGTCCGGGCTCGATGGGCAGTAGTATCTCAATGACGCCGCACAGTCCCTTCAACATGCACACCGGCAGCCCTTCGTCCCTGGACTGCTCGTGAAAAATATTTTGAGGTTAGGAAATCACGACCGAATCACACACTTTGGGACACCGCGAGAGTTAAGTTCTTTTATATATTAAAATGTTAAAAGTACAAAAACAGGTTTTTGAAATTGCTTTCACATTAAGGATCTATGATTTTGGATTTGTTTTAAATTCTGTATATTATTTATTATTACGTTTATGCTATAAAAAAACATGTAAAACATATAAAGCAAATATGCTTAAGGTTGTACTAAAGTCCCTTTAAAATTTGAAGTTGCAAAATAGATTTACTATGTTAATAAATTTTGGAATACATATTCTAACAAGCAAATATTTAATTATTTAAATTAATTCTTCTTAATTAATTTTTCAAATAAACACTAGAAACTTTCTTGATTATGTGGATCTTTAAATGACTATTTTTTAAAATAATTCCAATTAAACATTATTTAATACCACATTTTTAAAATGTAAAAGGTCTTTTAATTTTTTGTTTATGCATTTTTTGTGTAGAATTCCATACAGAACAAATTTCTTAAAATCATTTTGCTCGATATTAACAATTTTTAGAAAGGAGGAATAATATTTTAAGTATAAAAATATACAAAAACACTTTCCGACAAGAGGTTTTCGAGTTATTATACATTTAAGTTTAAAAACTGGGCAACGCTGTGTATTTTTTTAGCCAAAATATCATATCTAAGTTATAAAAACAAAATAAACAAAGTAACTGCAGCTAGCTGAAATTGAAAGATATATTTTTGTCAGTCCTAACTTTTTTTTAAACTTTAAATCACCATATTTTTTTTTTTTTTTTTAAACGCTCTTCATTGTTTTTTAAAGAGGTACAAGGTCGGTTGAATTAGTTACAAGTTTATTAAAATGAAAAAAAATTGCGGTTTTCAAAAATTAAACAAAAAACTGAAAACCGCTCAAAACCAAAAATCGTTGGAACTTCGTTATTCCTGGAAATGTTAAAAAATAAATAAATTTAACATGTAAACATACACATTTATCTACATTTTCATTCAATTTGTGATTTTTTTATACTAGATTTTGAGTTACCACCTTTTGTGGTCTTTTGTTTTTCTTATGGCCGCCCTATTGGAATTTTACATGGTTGGAATAAAAAAAAAGAGAATCCAACGATGTATTAAACTTACATGTAAAACTTACTTTTTGCAATTTTTTTAGAAATAACGAAGTTATAACGATTTTTGGTTTTTATAGGTTTTTAGTAGAATATTTTGAGAACCGCTGGGTTTCTGGTATAAAAAATACCCATATGTATAAAACATTAAATTAAACAAATTAAATTGCGCCACCTTAGAAAATATAATATTTCAAAATATTGTATAATTTTATATTCCCAGAACTGGCACCAAATGTTCATGTTTTTTTATGTAAAACAACCAAACAACCAAAAAATAACATAATTGTAAATATAGTAAATATAAAGTTTTTACTAAAAAATTATATTAAAAACTAAATGATTAAAATATTAATAAAATAAGTTCCTTAAACAAAAAGACTTACTTTAATTGTAAACTTTTACTGGAAACTAAAAAACGAAACACCATTTTAAAAATCATGTTATAACAATATTTTTAATATTTTAAAATACGACATTTAACTATTTTTATCTTTACAAATTAAATAATTCTAAAATCTCTCTAATTAATATGTTTCTCATTTTCCATTTTAATACATATTGAACTTAATCTCGTGGACAAAAAGTATTTACCGTTTTTTGGTGACTACAATTATTGTGATGAAATTGATTGCTACATAATTTTATGTCCTAGTTTAACTATTGTAATTTGTATATTTAGGAAGTGGTTTGTACTTATTAAATAGATTTATTGATTTTAAATTTGATAATGCAAGTAACGGTACAGGAAACTCAATGGAATTTATTCATTTATTTAAAAAGTTTGTTTACTGTACAATATAACGATTGAGTGGGGTACAGTTATTTGAATTATTCAATGGGACACTTTTCCTATGCGAGTTAGTGCAAAAACAAGTACCTTATAAACTGTCCCAATAAGTGAAAATATGCACTTTAAAGTAATAATTTGTTACAGGTGAGATCTGTAACAGTAATATAATTTTAACTTATTATATTGTTCCTACAAATGATTAGGTATAAGATGCACTGTATATAATATAAAGTATTTACTATATATGATTATTTGTTTTCTATTCAATAGTCTTCCTAAAACAAAAATCATTTGTAATTATAATTTTTTAAATTTTGTCAGTCTTCCCCTTTTCGCCAAATTAAGTTTTCTTGTATAGATATTTTATTCCAAAACAAAGTAACGGAAATTAGGTTTCTGAAAGGTTTTGGTTGTAAACGTCTGGTGTACTTTTTAAATAGACATTTTTTCTGTAAATTTGCAAAGAAATTTTATAATTATTTAACTTATTAAAAAAACTAATTTCTTTGCAAACATGTTAGGGAGTATTGTATAAATGATCTTCTGATGATGTATGATAGTGTATGTTAGCGCTACCTCAAAATTTATTGTAAATAAAGGTGGTAGCATATTCCTATTAATAAATTACTGATCATTAAATACGAGAGCTTTGTTTTATTTATTTCCCAACCAGTATAGCAAACACATCTTTTAGTATTAAACAAAAGGTAAGTATATATAAGTAAACAATCAAGAAATACATCAAACCCTTAACCATGGCTGCTAAGAATACAGATAATCTGATTTTTATTAAAAAGGTATAAAACAAAAGTTGTCAAGAACAACCACTTTGCAAATATACCCATTAAATTATGGGGTTGTACATCCGTATCACCGTCTCATCTCAAATAGAAATGTCACTGTCTAGACTGAAACCATGTAAAGTCTGATTTACCTGACACTTTTTATGAACTAGGTAGGTTAACGGTTGATCTAGTTCGATTTTATTGGTCCCAAAGCGGTACATTCCCTTTTGTCGATAATCTAATGTTAAAACAATGTTTTCAGATAACTTTTTTGTTATACTTTTTAATGTCTTAATCTTCTTCTCTAAAAAACTCTAGAAGTTACTTACTAGATCTTAACCAAACCAAATGCTATGTTGTTTTCTTTCATTATAAAGTACCTATTTGTTGGCTAGGTAGGAATTTAACAGTTTAAGTTTTATATAATATTTTTTTAGACTGTATACAAATATTATACTAAATAATTATTAACACTTAATTTAGCACTTTACCCACTTTGACCCGAAAAAACTTTTAAAAACACTTGAAAACTTGTTCATCATGTTATATTGCAAAAAGTGTCAAGAGTCACTTTTGAACATGGTCTTGTCTAGACAGTGTTATTTCTACTTGACATATTTGTTTTATTCCAGTATTCCAGATCGTGCATACAGATAAGATGAAAAGATAATACGATTCAGGTTGTGCTAAAAATACTTACCTACATCACAGAAACGTTGTGTTCTTCCTGAATTTAATACTTTTGATGTTTTTGTGCTAAATATAAGTGAGTTTATTATTAATAAGTATATTCATTTAAGATTTTAGGACCGGAGGCAATCGTAACCAAATAATTTAATAAAAGTTTTAATTGTGCGGAGTAGAACAAAAAGTTTAATTTGGTACAATGACATAATAAAAAATGAATATGAGACATTGTTTTGATGTTTAACAAATTAAATTAACTAATCAAGTACATGTTTCTACTTAATGCAGGTTTAAAACGTTTTAAAGTAGATTTAGGATTAGTCTGTTTTTTCTGTTTAACATATTTGGTTTGTTTAATATAAATTTTCATAAAATTTAATTTTAAGTACTGGTTTTCGCAAGCTCAAATATTTTTAATGATTTCATACTTTCCAGGAGTGCTATTAAAAATAGTGTTTTACTATTCGAATATTTTTAGTTTTACATGGTACAATTTTTGGGTATTACCACACAAGGGCGCCGATAATTTTTTTCTTTGGGGGGGGTAACATAATATGTATTATAAGGAAAATAATTTTGTAAAACTCCTTATTGTTTATTTGCTTTTGTATATTGGGGTAAAGGTAAAGGTGTCAAAACTAAATATGTCATAAACATAAACGTATATTCTGTTTTAAGTACCTAGGTAATCTTTTAAAATATAAAATTCATATTTAGTACATCAGACGTGCGCACAAGATGCGAAACCATTGCGATTTTGCGAATTAAATTCACTATCTACCTTACCACCATCATAGAGGGCGACTTGCATTCATAAATTATATTTTTAGTAATTTTTTTTTAGGACCTCTATCTTGGAGGGGGTAATTACGCCCTTGTAACCACATTTATACAATTATGAAGCCTTAACTTTAATTTCGGTAATACATCTTAAGAACAAATTTTAAGACATCTATAAGGTCGGGTGTGGTTTTAGCATCCGCTTTAAAGATTTACATAATTCCTATAGAGTCATACAGGGTTGCGCAAAAGTAAAGTAACAGGGAATAATACATCGGACTCAAAATTTGTGGAATTTTATGACAGATTATTTGTGGCTATTTCATGAACCCCTTTAGGTGACAACCCTTTAATTTCCTTAATGGCAACATGCTGCACATTTTGGGAAAGCTTATCAGCGTAGGTTTTTTATAAAATATATTAGAAAAAATGGTACTTAACATAATACTGTGTTAAAAAAGATGTTCAAATTAAACCCCTTAATACTAACAAAGCCTGTTCTCTAACTGACAAATCGCGTTCTGCAGTGATTCGTTAGGCTAAGGTCCAGGTTTACCCAGGACTGGTTCTGGTTTTTGCTAATGTGTCCTGGTTTTAATTGTGTTCCTACTGGTTTTGTCCTGGTTTTGCAGGTTTGGTCCTGGTTTATACTATTTTTTTATTATTGACTTTATTAGCAATTTTTTATAAAGTGGTCGGGGCTTGGATTAAAAATAAATTTAAAACCTAAAACTTTGGAAGTACATTTAGAAGTGTAAAAAAGTAAGAAAAAACCTCGTTTAAAAAAATATATAAAAAATTATGACTTTTTTCACTTTTTTAGGATTTGACCTATTATTTTTTTAATAGGTTAAAAATTAATTTACAAATCTGAATTTTTGAAAGTATTTTCTGGTTAGTAAAAAAGTAAGAAAAAACCACGTTTGAATTTGT